AGAGGAAACAAGTCAGCCAGAAAAGACTATCATTTTGTTTCAGCCTGTAATATTTTTGTAGGGAAAAGAAAAGAAAGGTTCCCATGGAGAGCAAATAAGCCATTGGAAAAATAGCTTAGTTTCTCAAACAGCCAATCTTGAAACCCCTACCGTTTATCTAATCCAGTCATCAAATTTCAATAATGCAATTACATTTCGCTTAATGCTAACAAAAAAATGCAATTTACTTAAATTTTAAGATAAGAATAAAATCACTTAAAATGTATCCTGTGTCATACAGAGTATTTTTCTCACACGTGATTTTCTAAACTAATATTTGGCAGGTTCCTCTTTTAATCCTTTCTGATATAATTTAGACTGTTCTTGGTTAAATTTAATTCAGGGATGTGCACGGTATGATAATATAGTGATCCTTCCGATTGAGGCGCCAACCAGCGACATGGTACAGTGAAGAGATACAGGTTCATGTGAATAATTTTACAATGGCAAAGTTACTAGGTTCATCCGTACCATTGGGTTATGTTTAGAGCAGAGGCCATGCACTTAGCTACAAGAAGAGGAGGAAGCAATATTTAGGAAGCAGCAGAGAGAGTGATTTGTGTTGAATCTGTGCAACACCCAACAGTTATTTAACTTAGAGGCAGTGAAATACTGTAAGTAGTTCTAATGAAGGGCTTTCCTCTGAAGCTTGAACTTTACTTTTGTCAGAGGCTAATCAACATGCTGACTGCAGAATTTGCTGCTTTATTTATCAAAAGGATCAAGAGGGTCAAGGCAATTACTTTACAGTGCATTCATGTGACAGCAAAGAGAACTGTGGTTGTGAGATCTATGGGCTGTTGACAACAATGGGATGACATTGCAATGAAATGAAATGCACTGTTGCTCTGTATGGAAAATAAATGCAAATGCACAGAATTTAACAAACCACAAACTTCCCTAGCCAAATAGTGCTGGCCAACAACTCAAATCTTCGGCTGGCTGTGGTATACATGATAAAAGATTTTCTAATAGAGAGGTCGGGGTCACAGTACACTGCAGCTTAAATCTTTATGAAAAATTCAGTGTAATGTACTTACTCCCCATCTGAAGCACTAAGAAAATAAAAAAATCAAGTGATGTACATTGCCACATCAAATCAGTACAAAAGGTTCAACATCTCAATACATAAATCACTCTGGAAAATATGTAGGGTCACAGAGTATGTTAAGACTCTACCACAAATAATTAGAACCAGAAGTGTTCCACTTTGTCCAAGGACAAAGGCAGACATAGGTTCTGGGCAGTAAAACAAGAGGCCATTTAAGACCCATGAGATTGAAGCTTGAACATCTCTACATGTTATTTGAACAGGAGGATTTTGCAATTCTTTTAATATTTTCATGCACTATTTTCTAGTTTCCTCCTTCCACAATGTCATGTTTTATTTATAGAGGTCAGAATTTCACAACGTGCTGATTCAACTCCTTGCAGATTGACGTCAGTAACTACAAGCTCTAAGTCTTGTGATAAGAATGGGACTGAAGTTTCAAAGACTAAATATAGGTGTAAATGATCAAACACTAAGAACATCATAATTCCTGCACCCTTGGGGTTTTGGAAATACTGGCTGTGAATTGAACTATTTATCGTTCAGTAACATAAATTGGATTTTTTGACTGCTGTTTCATGGTTTTGCTCCTTTACGTTGGAGAATAGGAAAGTAAATAATTATCTTTTTGAGTAACGTATTTACTTTCAACAGAAGATTAGTAAGTTGAATAGAATCCATAAATATCTAATTTGAACATTCATCTTCCACCCTGAATACTCAAGGATTATGGCCATTCCTTTTTTCAAAGTATTTTTCTTATTCAAACTATCTGATTTGCCCGCAATTGAAACTGACTCTATATCATATGATTAAAAATTGTATTGGAAGAAGGGTAAAACACAGGCAGTTGAAATAGTGAGTACAAGAGGAAGAGTAGTGGCTAGGGCAATTGAAGTGTTGTAAAAATAACTGATATACCTGCAGGTCTACAGCCCTAAGTACATTTTTTTGCTAAATTTGACACATCAGTCCCATCCAATAATTGCATCTCCAATGACTAATCAATCTTCTGCACCCACCAATCTCACCATCAACCCCCTACATGCTTTTTCAGACCATCCATTTTCTCTCATGTACACTTGAGAAAAATCCTCATCTTTGGTGATTAGGAATCAAATAATACTACCTGCGATGATTTTAGAAGTTTAAAGAATGGGTTCGGGCAGATCACTTGCCATCATTGGCAACATGGCTAGTTATGACAACTGACTCCAGCATACATGATCAGACAAATTATATTTGGTCTGTGGAATGAAAAGGCTTGATGGGGGTACAGTTCTTTTCTTATACCATATCATAGTAGGGCAAGTAGCAAAAGCACTACATATTACAGCTGACAAAAGAACATGAAACAAATATGGTACTAATTTTTGTTGCATATTCTGTATGCACTCTAATGAAATGTGACAAACATGCCACTGTCCTAAAGATAGTCATCAAACTGCTTGTAAGAATGAAGACACAAAATCTTTCAGTGAGCTATTAATAATGTATTGGGCTTGATACATCACATAAGCAGAGGCAAAGACGATCAATGATATTATGAGAACTGACCATAAAGCAAAGACTTGTATACTTTTACCAGGCTGGAAATAAGAAGTAGAGGCAACTACAAGCTATGTCCTAAATTCTCACTTTCTATTGAGCCGGTTTCTCCATGTTGGCAAGAAGAGCGCATGTCGCAAGAAGTCATTTAGTTTGTGATCAATTGTTATAACCTTTACAACATTAAATGCGAATGAAACTGTTTTGGTTGGAAGGATATATTTGTGGTTTGTCCAGCAGTTTATAGGAATGTGCTGTGAATTCAACAGCAACTTTTAAAACACCTTCAATGTTTTATACCTTTCACATATTTCTTGTCTAACAGCAGGTAATACTCCCAGGCGTCATTAAGAGGAACAATGGAAAACAATTTACAGATTTATTTTCAGATATTTTCTTTGCTCTATAATTAGCTACTCAGTACTCTCTTGTCCTGGGAAATCCCTCTGCTGCTACTTAATAATGCTTCAGCTTAAACCTAGTCCTGTAGAGTCAGTGACAACAAGGTGTAGAGCTGGATGAACACAGCAGGCCAAGCAGCATCATAGGAGCAGGAAGGCTGACGTTTCGGACCTAGACCCTTCATCAGTTTCTGTTTTGATCTTCCAGCAACACAGAAAAAAAAGGATTAAAAATTATTGCAACACTGGTCTGTGTGTGGAAGCAGGTGTATCAATGAATTATTTGTGTGTTTTGTCCTGAGTTTCAACACTAGCTTGCTGTGAAGGTCACTATCAAAGACCAATCGACCAGTCACCCCAACTAAAAGGACCTCATTCTGAGTGCGAGAAATCAAGTAGCTAACAAGCCAGTATCATAGAAACAGAACAACAGAAGGACTCTCTCACTCTGCTTGTTGCCAATGGATGACCAGCAAAGGGAAACATGACAAAAGGATATCAACTGTCCACTGTCTACTCTTCATGAATGATCTAGAGAGATTGATCTGTATACCTTTTAGCCTTTTTTGGACGCACTTGGGGGAAAAGACATTCACAGGGGAATACTCCTTTCTTAAATTAACCTTTTTGCAAACAACCGAGACAGAATAAACAAGGTGATTCAGTTCATCCCTGCTCACCTGACAGTTTAATAATTCAGAGCATCTGTCTGGAACAGTAATAACTTGAGGTATTTTACCCGTAGTGTGATCATAACAATTCTTTTTTAAAGGTCTTCAAGTGAGAAAGTAGCTAGTGAGTAGTGTCATTTGACTGTGAAACCCATTTCAGCTGACCCTGATTCTAATGGTATTCACAGGTCTCCAAAATGTAGCCACTTAACAGAAATAGCAGAGTGGTAACCCTAGCTTTATTTTCCCTTCCACAACCAACCAAAGTTGAGCTAATTGTAATGCCCTTTTCACTGTATCTGATAGGATTGCCATACTCAGAGTTTAGTGGTCTGTACTTACAACTGTAAATACCAGCCGAAAATGTTTTGGGACATCCTGAGTTGTGAAAGATTCTACATAAATGCAAGTCTATCTTCCTTTAGTAGAGCTCGGTTCCTCATCATATGGAAGACTCCTTGTTAAGTGTTTTCCTTCTTGTTTCACAGATCATCTCCAGCAAACTTTCCCCTTTGAAAATGGCCACTGAAAGATTCATAAACATTGCTCATAATAACTCTGCTGTCCTGCAGGAAGTCAACTCATTACCCCCTGTTGTAGCTGCACTTTTGGGGATAAAGCCATAGAGATCCCTGAACATTGCGAAGAACAGTGACTAAACAGATCAAATTCCTGTGCTTTGCACCCAGGGTCAATGCATTCCCTGGTAGACATGTGGGGAAATCAGCTTCTATCTCTACTAGTAATAATCCAATATTTTAAAGGATTTGAGCTCTGTGACGCTTCCAACCCATATCATGTTACCTTCCATACAATGTGTTGTGCACAGTAACTCAACTAAAAAAGCAAGTTCCAAATGTTAAGTTGAATAAAACAGTCCTAATAATCAATTGCATATTCTCAGTACTCTAAAATTATGGTGAAATATACTTAAGTGGATTGAATTATAATTAGTATGCCCTTAATTTTAACCAGTGGCATTGGAAACTGGGATGAAGCAAACTCGGATGGGGTGAGGCAGGGTTAGGTAAACTGCTATTCAGATAATTTGGAGGGAAACATAAAGGTAAAACAATGATCTTTTGAGAGATTGCTGCCAAATCCTATTTTCATCTCCCTGAGGAGAATTTAATTGGAAACTTTTAAATAATCATATGAAACAGTGACAGCCAACAGCACATCAATTATTTTTATATAAATAGCTCAATTCTGAATTAATAAAACTATTTATATGAGGACAATGTTCAGGATCATTAAAACTTGTGAGAACAGTTCTCCATCAGTACTCACCTTCTGCCAGAGTTGAATAAAAACTGTCTCTCCATTCAATGTGCATATTTAGTATCCTGTTGCCATTCAGGTCCCAATTTTGCCTCTTCCTCTTTTCTGCTTCAGAAAGAAACAGAATTAATACTGAACTTGTACTAACAGCACTCCATCATTTGAATTCTTTCTACATGTCAAGCTAAGGGAAAATTAATTAAAGGAACCTTCTAATTTCCAGAATGCAGCACCATCATTAAGAACTCCTAGGTCAGGTTTGGTAAAGATTGGATCAAGAATTAAATTTTCCTTACTGGTTCAGTTAGCTAAATTCAAATCCTATTCTGATACATAATCAGACAGGCCAGAAAGATCCTTGGATCAATCCAGGAAAGTAGTGAGATCTTAGAAATGGCCTTGCTATATCCAGTCTAGAAAGACAGAGGAAAACAAATAAATTGTAACAACAATGGTATGTCTTGACATCTCTAGATATCCAAACGAGATTTACAATTAATAAGGCATTTTTGAATTGTGGTCAATATTGTAATATAGTAAATATTGCAGACAATTTACACCTAAGATCCCATAAACACAAATAAATCATCCGTTTTCAGATCCAAAACAGAAACTGCTGGAGAAACTCAACAGATCTGGCAGCATCTGTGGTGAGAAATCAACGTTAATGTTTTGGGTCCAATAACCTTTCTTCAGATTTCCAGCATCCACAGTTCTTTATTTTATTTTGGATGTTGATTAAAAGGTTTAAAATAATGAGAGGTTAACTCATTGAAACCTTCAAGATTACTTTGGGGTCCAACAGGGTAGATATTGAGAGGTTGTTTCTGTCATTGAGCAAGAGTTAGGAACTGTACTGGAATTGACTAGTTACATGTGTCATAGACCAGACTAGACCCCCTCACAATTTAGAAAATAGTCTAGACCCCAATTTTTTTCTTATTTTAATGGTAAGTATAAAATGTTGCATTCCAAATACAATTCAATTGGTCAGACTACTCAATGTTAAGCAAAACATAATTTATTAATACACTATAGTTAAAAATACAACAAAAGGAAGAAAAAAGAAAATAATTAGCTTAGTTGTAACTCTACTGCAATGCTTAACAAAATTATAGATACAAAAACTATTACTAATTAACTCTTCCAATATAGCAGCATCCCATAAACACACCCTTAGCAAAAGGTAAATTCAGAAAACAGGCTGTCTCACATGCAGTTCTCCAATTCAGGAGGAAAGAACATCAGAAGACAATTCTGAGGGAGAGAGAACTCCAGCTTTCAATTGTAGCAAAGAAAGATGTAGCAGTGTTTTACATTTTCAGCAGCTTCCAACGCTGCTGAGACCCTATCTTACCCAAGTTGGCGCTGGAAGTGGTGACTTATAAAGTTTTCCCTGCGCTCATTTGAACACATGTGACAATAAAGCTAATTCAATTCAATACAGCAACAACTGCTGAAAGGTAATCTAAAGATCCTGGTTTTGTGGGAGTTTGACCACAGCCATTCAAGTTGCTTTTTTCATTCCAACTTTTAAAGAAAAACACCTAAGGCTTCACAAGTTATCTTCTCTCATAGACTGCTCAGTGCCTGTCCCCAGATATCTACCTAAAAGAAACCAGGGCAAAACACACCTCTTAAAGCCACTGTAAGTCACACATGACTGAATAAATATGAAGGGGAAACAGGTGGTACTGAGGTGTGAAGTGAGCTGTGTGACAGAGTAGACAACAAACTCTTATCTATAAGAAAAATAATGTCTTAAATTCTATTTCACCAACAGCCTTAAATCCAATTTGATATTGGTAGCAGCAGATGGTTGCCTAAAAGTGAAGATTGGAAATCAAAGGCTCTTTTTCCAATGAAAGCTGTAATTTGAGTTACTTTTGAGAAGAATGGCTGAAAATAAATGTGAAGTGTTAGGATATGATTTCTCACTGATGTTCTGTGAAGCTGAACCTTATGATCCATAGTAAAATGAAGTAGAGGTATGGACATGTATTGTGACCTAACCAAAGTAAAAACAAGGTGTGGCTTTGGCACGGTTGCTTCCCATGAGATACAGGATCAGGTCTGAAATAATCTCAGAGCTGGAGCCTCAAGAATTGGACACTGAGGAAGGTTGGATAATCTGTTACTATTTATGGACAGAATGTATAACAAAAAGTTCTATTAAATGCATATGAGACATGATCAAACTTGGGTAATTTAAAAAGCCAAATAGCTATTCCACTGCAGAGTATATAATTAAATTTAGCAGTGTATAAGCAAGATTTTAAAAATTATATTTGAAGATCGTGAACAGTGTGCTTGCCTTTAAATTATTGGACTATGTGAAAGTGTCAAACATAGATAGTGTCAAATGGAGTTAGATTTTCAGAAAGAAGCATACCCTTTTGAAAATGTCCTATAAAAATCTCTGTGAAAACATTCATTCTCAGCAGCCTTCCTGCTTCAAATGGGATATTCAACAGTTTCACAAAGAAAGGAGGATTCAATGATATTGACAAGCCCAGACCTCCCAGATACAAGCAGAAGGAATTGTGCTGATAACAGTGTGTTTCAGCCCAGGACAATGGACACACATTCACAAAGTGTAGCGTGGATTGCTTAAATGAAAGGACTGAAGTAATTTTAGAGAATAAGAGTTCTACCTGCTTCAGGTTTGGCTGAAGCCACTCAAAAGACCAATGATTCTGATAGACACAATAGGCTAAGTGGTCTTCTGCACTAGCACAATTCTGTGACAATAAATAGCTGGGTTGCTTCGTTCAAATTCTTGTGGATGAACCAAGTTGCAACTTCACATCTGTCCTGAAATGGGTAGTCCCTGTAAAGAACACACCATAAATGATTGGGAGCTACAATCCATACCAACTGTTTCTTCTAGAACAATTTGGTGAGCTTTACAGCACTGTATATGGCCATCAGAAATAGATTTTAATCCAGGAGACATAGTACATTATGAATGAGACAGCAAAGAGTCGAAAGGCCTGGGCAAGGTTACAGGTAGTAATGGCAAAACAGTAATGTTGCAGTATGCTAATCAAACTTTTAAGTTTCATTCCTCAAAGTTAATTAGAAATCACAGATTCTGAACAAGCTATGGAATATGATAAGACACCATGCTCCACACACAGATGTTGGTCAATTACCGGATTAAGGGCTAATTGACAATGAACAAAGTGATACAGAAACACAGAACAAGGATATTTGGCCAGAGTTCAAAAACCAAATGTAGGAACCAAAGTGACACATATGCCAGAACAGACTGATGAATGGAGGAATACCACCATTATAGGGAAGGCTACCATCATATATAAACACTGGCAAAATGTGCAAGATAAGGAAATAGGAGGTAAATTTTTCTCATGGTTGCTATTCAAGGATCCCCATTGGAAGTATAATGCACGGATATTAGTTAAGCATATGACTAGGTTCAGACATGATACCATGTTAAAATAGCCTGCTGTTTATTTAATGTCTGTTTACGACAAAATCGGGTATCAGAGGGCTGCTGGTGTATAAGGAACAATATCCCAATGTGAGTTCCCATACAGAATGGGAGCAAAGCAGAAGGAAAAAAAAAATCCTTCAGCACTATTCCAGCAAGCCTACCCAAGTTCTTGCTCCAGTGGCTAGATGCACAGTGAGTCTCCTCTACTCTGTCCAAGTCAGAAATAAATGTTCTACCGTATGAATGTGATATTTTCCATTTCACACACCAACAGTTTTGTTAACTGTCAGACTAAGATTGGCATTTAAATGCCAGTTTTATAATGTTTCCATAACAACTAAAAGCTGAGCTATGAACTTCCAAAATACTTTTTATAGAGAAAAAAAGAGAAGCCCTCATCAGACCAAGCAGATTAAAATTCAAGTCCAACATGCAAAATGATCGGGTGTTTATCTATAGCGCACTTCAGTTCCTGTACTTTGAATTTAAGTGATGCATCTTGAGTTTTGAAGAAATTACTCCACGCTAATCAGTGAAACAATCTGGCAATGTTCTACTTTTAATCACATCGTGCTTTATTACTTTGATGAACAACTGAGAAATGGAGACTTGTAAGAAAGTGTAGGTAATTTCTACTAAGTTGTTGGCTGGGTGAGTCGGTCCTTGTCCACTGGAAAGGAAATGGGATCAGAGTGTGAATTACCCCAACAGTTCTTGCACACTTCTCACTCCTCTTGTGAGAGGGTTGTTCAGTTATTACTTTGGTCACTACACACAATGGAAAAATACCAGGAATCTGTTTTTTGTAACTGTTCTGTTGCTTTAACCTCACTCTGAACTTTCTGCAATTATGGGTGATATTACAGCTTCAACTCTAACCAAATCATTCTCCAGGAATAAATGAGCTCTTTCCATGGATACTTTCATAAGTAACCCGACTATTATTAATTCAGACATCAAGTCACACTCCTATAGGACTTTGTGCAATGGAATCTGGAAATACCATCCCACTATCATAGAGTAATTGAGTCATACAGCATGGAAACAGACCCTTCGATCCAACTAGTCCTAGCCGAACATATTCCCGAACTAAACTAGTCCCACCTGCTCGCTCCTGCCCCAGATCCCTCCATCATGTTTACCATCACTTCGGATTGCAATGGATTCTCTGGAGGGCAAGCTAAATCTTTCTCCAGTAAAATAGTAGTTAAGTAGACTCTGTATCACTTAATAAAGTTATGGGCTTGGTTGTCTCAGTAGAATAAATAATCGGGTATCAGAGGGCTGCTGGTATCTTTCCTTTAGACAAAAAAAAACTTTATTATCTCTCATCTACCTTATTTACTTCTTCTGCAGTGTTTACCTCCAGTCACTTACTTAGTTACAGCTACAAGTTAATCTGTTGCATTTTTCTTTCCAATTTCCTTGTTCTTAAGTACTCCAAAAGTTCCACGGATTTCTCTTGCAAGTTCTTGCAGTCCAAAAGAAAATGTCCCACTTTGTTACAATGAAACAACCTTAGCTTCAGTTTTCCAAATCCACCTTCAGTGTTTTCATTTCAAAACTGAGAAGATCTTGGGGTATTCCCATCTATCCATTCTTTATCTTGGCTGCTTGCCGTCCTTTTACCGTCCCATTTTCCAACCCT